GTGTCCTGGTGTCTGGTGAAATCCATGTCGCTCTGTGGATATCCTTGTGCTTGAACACACTGCCTCGCCTTCATTCACCAAATCGTTGAATGCACAGAATTCTGCAAACAATTCTCCATTCTCGTTCATCACCTCACCGAGTGCTTCTCTACCCATGGTCAGTTCTCTTCCTGTGTTGTGTGCTTCCAGTTTGGCATTCATGTCGCCCCACCCATTAGAATTTTGATGTCGCCAACTGTGGTGAGGTCTTGTCCAGTGCTGATTGCGGCTTTCTGTAGAATTCCTCCTTCTTCTCTTCATCTGCATTATTTGTAGGTGCATAGTGTAGCATTGTATGATTGTGACTTTCCGTCCTTTTGTGTTGAACCTTGCTGCCATGATCCTGATCCTGAAGGAGGAGATTGATGCTTACTGCTTGAGAGCCTTTGATGCTGTTGGGGACATCTTGATAGCCACTCAATAACTCAGTGTGTTCGTGGTTGTCATTTGGGTGACAATATCGGAGAAGATTATTGACTCTCCATTTGACAGTTTGGAGAGTCCACTTCCATTCCATCTGCATATCCCTTGCAGATTCCTAGCACTTCAATACTATAGCTTGTCATCTCTTTGGCAATCTGGGCTGCCTTTCTGGGTTCAAACATCGTGCGGACATTCCATGTCCTCACTCTTACTTTTGCTTTGATCGAGAAAAGAGAATTGGTTTCGCGAAGACTTTCACCAACCGGCGTCATTTCGTCTCCCCGATATCAGCGAGGAATAAGTTTGTTGTTATTTTTTATATTTTGTTTGTGCTTTGAAGTTTCTTTAGCGGTTGGGTTTGTTTTGCGGTGTATGGTTGCTAGTCCTTTGCCCAACGTTCCGTCTTTATTCGGGTTTAAGGGCGGCTAGTAACTAGTGAACTAGTTAACGGATCAATGTGTTATTCTTATAGGCGGTCGATTATAAAAAGATTTGATAATCTTGTTTTGGTTCCACGATTTAGTCATCATCTAGCAGCAGTATAATTATAACCACCATTGTTGTTGCTTCAGTACCTGGTTAGTCAAGTTAAATCCTCTTTACAGATAAGTCTTTGAATATCATATATAATGTATATGTTTTGTTAAAATCGAAACATTTATTATCTAGTGGTAATGAAACGAGTGGACGTTTGGTATTGTACATTATTCGCATTCTTTATTTGACGTGAACAGTATAAGCGATTATTTATTTGTTGGCGCTTTATTTTTAATGATAATTATCTGGTTGCGATTTTTGGATTGTATTGCATTGTGAATACATTCTCCATTATCTTCATCTGCATCTTCTGCTTTTACTTTATTTGACACTGGTGCATAGGGCACTAAGTGCATAGGCCCTAAGAAAATGTGAAGGCATTCGGGCTACCAAATACATACTTTGGGTCACTCACGCCTCATTAACAAGACAAGTAACTAACAGCTTTAATGAATAACTTGATAAATAACTAGCTGTTGACACTGAATGTATACATTTTCACAGTAAGAAAGATCAGCTGAATTTTCAAAGGATGTTCATGTTTTAAATGATGTGCCTTTAAAACAAACCTAGAAACTTTCTGTTTCTTGATAATTAATCTATTCGAGGAGTTGAGATTACAAGACAATTACTCATTTCAGAAATCTAAGTTGCACTTAGTATCACTTATCTTGATTTTTACAAAAACTGTACCAAAAGTGGACCCATTGATTAAAGTTTTACGAAAGTACAGTCCCAATAGATGTATTATATTATTAATGTTTATTCACAAGAACGTATCTATAAATTTTCTTCGCTCAGAGTTGACGCGAGTGATTTTATGAGTGTTATGATTAATTTCATGCTATATAAGCAAGAAAAATGTAGCATGAAACAAAAAAGTATATTTATCTTGCTAAAATAGTCATTCGTAAGGTAATTTCCCTTGATTTCCGACAGTCTACGTAATCCAGTTTCTCAAGATGGTTTTTTCGTTTGTGGGTAGAGAGAGCCTCATGCTAGCCCACTTTTTGTCTAAAAATGTATCACATTTAACGGTGCACTTACTGGGATCGATTAGAAATAAATTTGAAGTATTGTTTTGTTTAACTATGTATACGCAGTGAGGCAAACATAATGAAGGTCATATGTCTCAAAATAGAAATAATTTTGTGAATCAATTTTTGAATATAACAGCTGAATGCAGTAGCGCAACACAAATGCATGACGTTTAGCACTTATCATTGTAGACTTTCCAGTCAAAAGTACTGATGAAGACATTCACTTCCTTCCTATACCAACTATATTGATGACTGACAGTTATATTTCCTAGTTTTCGCGGTGTCAGTATTACATTTACTAGCTCATCCCACTATTCACCAGTCTAACAGATTAAAAACAGCATATTCTACGTCTACAAATTAATAATATTTGCGAAAATTTCTACATATTTAAAAATGTTTTATTCATAGATTCAACTTGTGTACAACACATTTTCGACAACTGCCCAAGTAATGTACATTTGTAGGTGGAAACAAGTGAAGTTTTCACTTGTAATTTGAGCTTTCAGAATACATCTCATAATAATTAGGACAGATGTTTTGTACATAGTAATATAAATATAATCTTGAGATGTTTGTAGATACGTAGAAAAAGATGAAGAACTGCAACGTCACAGGTTAAGAAAGGAAACGGTCAATTGGAAAACCTGTGTAGTCAGGGGTACACAATCATGGCAAACTGCCCATCACCTCCAGCTTCGTTAGAACAGGCTATCAAGTCACTAAAGGAGAAATCTTGATTACTCACTTCATATCGCAGTCATACCCTATGATATTTTCTAGGAAGACAGTGAAAGTTTCACAATCAAGCCATCTAGCTCAGAGAATGCAACAGCTCATGTGCGGCTACCTCAGCATGAAGAAAAACTACTCAACTCCTATAGAACACCAGTGCGCGTTATATAAAATACTTGAATTAACTCATTATTTCAGTTTCTTTCTGGAAGCCTAGTGATTCCTTCGAGATCCATTTCATTTATTTGACCTCAATTCATATATTAAAGGCAATTGGTGATAGTGCTTTCTGACACATTTTCGAAAAGTGTATTTTTCATATTCTACTATCCTTTTTAATAACTACATTTCAGTATTATATTTTCATGGCTGACAGATGATTACATATAGAGTAAAACGAGAGTATTGTCTAGATAGACTGGTTTCTAAAAAAGTGCAAGCTTATATTTTTCGGATGAATACGGCGCTGTCACGGTTTTGAAAAGCAGCAAATCTTTGCAAGATATTTTTGGGCTAATCTCCATAGAATAAACTTCAACCTTTTTAAACTGACTGGGAAAGTTTATCCCTAAAGATACGAATAGTTCGTTGTTTCCCCAGCTTTTTAATTCTTATCGTGGATGCTTCAAACTAGCCTCGGTGGAATTTTTAGCCTTTCCTTCCTATCTTCATGAAGTTATGCTAATTACGTCACCAAGCTTGGCAACAAAACATCCGTGACAAAATGTCAAAGATCAGAGGAAACTAAGCCACTGTAAACTCATTAGGTGTAACGAGGGTATTATAACCAGTAAGTCAATTATCGCAGTTTGGAGGAATTAGATAAATAGTTTTTTTTACCATAGACGACACCAATGAACCTGATAATCATGCCGCATCAACATTTATAAAATAAAATGAACAGCTGAAGACTGATCTATTGAGACAATTATTCTGAGTGACCACTTAATCTCTGCATTCATTTCCATCTAGTCTTAAATTAACCTACTTCTCCTTAAAGATTCTGTGGTGAGTTTCTCAAAGGATTTCGAGTGCTAAGTCTGTTTTGAAAGCCATAATAGTAATTTGTATTAAATAAATTTTGCTGTTGTATTGTTGTTATTGTATTTTTGATTGTTCCTGATTATAGTTTTGCAAAGTGTTTAGAGGAACTAAAAGTGAGTTTATTTTCTGTGACTGAAATAAATCTTTGTTTACCAACATGAGCAATGAGATTACGTCAGTTCAAACTGTCTTGGTTTCCTGGATATACAATTATTTTAGGCCTGAAAGCTCCTTAATATTATAAGCAGCTGTAATAAATAATCAGCAACTTTACCGAAACGTTAACGTTACGTTGAAGTCATTGAACCTTGGGAACTGTTGAGACCCAGAAAGGAATTTTTAGTAATATAGTAGCCGATATATATGCTATGTACACATAATAACAGGATAGGATGCAAGTAAATATATGTGAAGCATGAGAAATGACATGAACTTATTCATCCAGGAGTGTCATATTTTCTCTGGAAACTACATTTTTTCATTTATAATAAATGTGGTAAACGAATCGTGTTTTGATTTCCAAAGGTCAAATTTTGGGGAAATGTAGAACAATCTTGTTGCCTAATGTAAGTGAAAAGCTGGTCAGGAAGCGTTAGTGTTTCCTATCATCTAGCTAATACTTCTCACTTAAATTAATTTTAGGTAGTAAACTTTGCTGTAGATATCTCATGCAAAAGATGTTTAGTTTTAGTGCAACTTCGAAATCATGTTTACTGCAAAATAGGTCGGGGTCTCAAGGTCACCAGGAACCTTTGCAAATGGATAACAGGAAGAGAAAAAATCCAGTTAAGGTGTTCACTGGTGAGTGCCTGACATTACTGTTTTATTAATATCACTCTGTATCCGAATTCGACTGTATTTAAAATCGCAACATACTGTTGAGTTATAAGCAATAAAGAAATAAAATCAAGGAATCTCTGGTTTCTAATAGAATGAAGTTATAGGCAGGTATTTTAGTAATAACGTATTCAAGCAGAAAAGCAATTACCAATACAAAGTAAACAATATGAGATAAAATTATTGCTTTAGAATCTAGCTGCACTAATAAAAGTAGTGATACTGTTGTTCTAGTTCCGCGTGAAGAAAAGAGGTGTGATCGGGGTAGATAGACAAGCATATTTTTACGCTAATAATAATAATAATAATAATAATAATAATAACAATAATAGAAGTAATTATTTATTAGGATCTCAGTGCTTCTAACTCATGCGGACTATATGCTGATTGCTTTACGCGGAACTTTGCACACGATTTAACAAAGCATTCACTTAGTTTACACTTCTCCGGAGTTTTCCGATCTTGAATCCATAATGTTATAAAAAGTGCTGTAAAAGAAAATGAAGAAGAACAAAGTCACACTTCCTCAAATATTATATGCTTGATGAAATTGGACTTTGAAAGGAAATGTTATGGTGAAACGGTATGAAGCCTTTTGAACATCAATTCACATGTAAAGCTTGCTCCAAAGGATCATAGCAACTAACTAAGAATCTTCATAAAAACGGTAAGCGGGGAAGAGGGTAAAACTAAATGAACCACTTCAGTTCTGCTGGCAATGTCTGGTAATGGTCCTCCGGTGCAATTGCATAATGGAATGTGTGAAGGCCATTTATTAATATTATTAATTGTCCCTTAGGTTTCTAGCAGAACACAGAGCTTCAGTAGCACGTCGCCATTCCACTCTCTTCTCTGCAATCTTTTCAACCTGGCTCCACGACTGCCCACAACCTCTCATTTCTCTCTCACAAGATCCCCTCCATGTCACCCTCAGCTGGGATGCCCAACTCGTCGTTTCCCATCTGGGTTCCACTCGAGGGACTGGCCTGACGCGTGATGTCCCAAGTCCATCTTCTCAGTGCATGCCCAATCCAATCCATCTCCACTTCCTTCCTTGAGTGATAGGTTCTTGATTGGTTCGTCACCAGCCAGGGTTCCTTGTTACTTATTCTTATTATTCTGGCCATCTGAGCTTCAGTAACGAGCCAGCGTAGGCAGTTGTTGATGAGTGTCTGTAGTTTGTTGGAAATGCCTTTCGTGACGCGCCAAGTCTCTGAGTCGTACAGAAGCACTGACTTGACATTGGTGTTGAAAATCCGGATCTTGTTGACGCTTTATGCTGGGTGCGGAAGATCTCCACACTGATTTCAGGTTAATGAATGCCTGTCTTGCTTTTCCGATCCTGCCTGGCTTTGACGTCCTCGTCTGTGCCACCTGTAGTTGAAAGGATGCTGCCTAGACAGGTGAAAGAGACAACTTCCTTTAGGTTTCTCCCGTTGATGGTGATTGGAGCTTGTTGTTGTTGTTGTTGGAGGTGTTGGTTGGGTATCTTCATCACCTCTGTCTTCTCTATATTCACTTGAAGTCCCGTCTTCGCTTCCCTGCCTCTTCTGTCAACTTGTTGGTTTTCGCCTGTAGATATTCAAGTTTGTACGACAAGACATTAGACATAAATCATCATCGGCGAAATCCAAATCTTCTAGGTTCTTTTCCCCAGTCAAGCCAGCGTATCCCCCTCTTCTCACAGCTCCTCACTGTTTGTTGCATGATCCAGTCCACCACAACCAGGAATATCATGCGTGATAGTAGACAGCAGCCTCGTCTTACTCCTGTCTTCACTTCGAAAGCATCAGTGAGCTTCCCATTGTGAATTACTTGGCTGGCATGTGGCGTCTTCAGATAGTTGTTGAATGAGATTGATAAAGGTTTGTGGTATTCCGTAGTGTTGAAGCAACTGGCAAATTACTTCTTTGTAGACGCTGTCAAAAGCCATTCCGAAGTCGATGAAGTTGAGGAAGAGACTTGACTGCCATTCTATGCTCTGTTCTGTGATGATGCGTAGTGTAGCGTTGTAATTTGATCCGCACATGATTTGTACTTCCTGAAGCCAGCCAGCCAGCCAGCCTGTTCCGGTCGTAATTTTGAATCCGGCGCATACTTCAGTCTCTTCAGGATGATGTGGCTTAATATTTTGCTGACTTGGGGTGGACAGGAGCGTGATTCCGCACCAGTTCTTGCAAAGACTTCGGTCGCTCTTCTTCGGTAGTTTGACAAGGTAACCCTTCTTCCAATCACTAGCCAGGTACCTTTACTTCCTTCCATACCTTGTGGAATAGTGGTGTGAGCATGTCCACTGTTGTCTCTGCGTCTGCTCTCAGTGTTTCTGGCGGTATTCCATCTGGTCCTGCTGCTTTCCTGCATTTCAGTAGCTTTATGGCGCTCATCATCTTTTATTCGTTTCACGTGTGTTTATGTCTTCCTAGATAGTGACCTGGTTATTTGATACAATGTTGTCAGGTCTCTCTTACCTGCAGCCTGTTCTGCTTCACTTGCCAGTGTGTCGTGGAAGTGTCTTTTGTCTTTCCGTGCACTCTTCTTCACTTCTTTGTCCAGTGTGGCGTTTTATACATTGTACTCAGTTCCTCCTCTCTTTGAGCATCCTTGCACTGCACTGGTTCATATTCTGCTTCACCATCACCATCCTCCTCTCCCTCCTCTATCAGCTTCCATGTGTCCATTGAGATCCATTCCTTGTCTTCTTTCTTCCTCCTTCCTAATACGGTTATGCAGGTTTCTTTCCACATCTCTTTCAAAGACTTCCAGTGTTCATCCACACAGGTTTCTTCAGGGATGTTCCTCGAAATCTCCCGTGTTGTCTTGATGGCTGACCGGTGTGAAGATGTCCCTTGTAGTTTCGTCCTTCAGTTTCCGGTTGTTGAACTTGAACTGAGGTCTATCACCAACTTCCTTGAAGGCTTTCAACTTGATTTCGAAGGTGGGTTCTTTGCACTAGATAGTGAATTGTGTGAACCTACATCTGTTCCTCTTCTTGACCTTGTGTCAAGTAGGCTGCATCTCCATTTTCTTGAGATTGAGATAAGGTCGATTTGATTTTTAGTGTGTCCTGGTGTCTGGTGAAATCCACGTCGCTCTGTGGATATCCTTGTGCTTGAACACACTGCCTCGCCTTCATTCACCAAATCGTTGAATGCACAGAATTCTGCAAACAATTCTCCATTCTCGTTCATCACCTCACCGAGTGCTTCTCTACCCATGGTCAGTTCTCTTCCTGTGTTGTGTGCTTCCAGTTTGGCATTCATGTCGCCCCACCCATTAGAATTTTGATGTCGCCAACTGTGGTGAGGTCTTGTCCAGTGTTGACTGATGTTGTCTGTAGAACTCCTCCTTCTTCTCTTCATCTGCATTATTTGTAGGTGCATAGTGTAGCATTGTATGATTGTGACCTTCCGTCCTTTTGTGTTGAACCTTGCTGCCATGATCCTGATCCTGAAGGAGGAGATTGATGCTTACTGCTTGAGAGCCTTTGATGCTGTTGGGGACATCATGATAGCCACTCAATAACTCAGTGTGTTCGTGGTTGTCATTTGGGTGACAATATCGGAGAAGATTATTGACTCTCCATTTGACAGTTTGGAGAGTCCACTTCCATTCCATCTGCATATCCCTTGCAGATTCCTAGCACTTCAATACTATAGCTTGTCATCTCTTTGGCAATCTGGGCTGCCTTCTGGGTTCAAACATCGTGCGGACATTCCATGTCCTCACTCTTACTTTTGCTTTGATCGAGAAAAGAGAATTGGTTTCGCGAAGACTTTCACCAACCGGCGTCATTTCGCCTCCCCGATTTCAGCGAGGAATAAGTTTATTTTTATTTTCAATATTTACTTAGTGCTTTGAAGTGTTTTTAGAGATTGAATTGGTTTTGCGGTGTAGGGTTGCTAGCCTTATGCCCAACGTTATCTCTTTATTCTGCTTAATAGAGGCTAGAAACTAGTGGACTAGTTAACCTGGCGAGGTTGTTGAATCTCTTTATGGATGTTTTTTTTTCTGGTTCTGTTCATGTTGATCCAATGTCTATTCTTGAAAAGGGAATTGCTCTTCGGTTAATATTTTGAATTATTTTTGAATGAAACTGATTTGCGCAAACTGTTTACAGACGCTGATGAGATTTTCCGAAATTTACATTTTACAACATTGAAATGAACATATGTTAGTATTTGGTTTTCCTGAACAAGCAACCACCGAAAAAGGGTCACCTTTAATTAGAAATGAAATCCAGTCTATTCGAGATTGAACGCCCTGATTTCCAGTTTAAGCTGATTTACTTTTCATTTTGTTTTAAAATCTGTAGTCATGTGTCGTTATTAAAGTTTCATTTACCTTTTTGAAGTTGATAATATCCCAAAATAGTTTGATCCAGTCAAAAACAGCTTCAAAGTAGTTACTAATTACTGTGATGTATAAACCTTTGTTATAAAAAGCTAACGAAAATCGGATGGAAATCAGTTATTTGTTTTTGAGAATTCTAAATATGGAGTATTTCTCAGATAATAGTTGCAAGCTAACGGGATGACTGATCACAGTCTGTCTTAGATCTGGGAAGTTTGATAATGAAACTGAAACACGCATGAAAGAGGAAGTTTGGAGATTCTTAATATTTTTTGAATCAATATAATTGCCATGAGATTGAATAACTTTCCAGCAAGCCTGATTTCCAGAAGTTACTGTTTTTGGCAAGTGTATTACTAAAAGCTTAATGAAGAAATCAGTGGGTGTCACGAAATATATAATATATATCAACTCTTAACTCATATAACAGATGGAATGTAATGTGATTTGCAACACACCCAAATTACAGGACTTCAAAATGTTCCTACTTCTTGAATATGCTTAATTTTGCATTCTCATGCAAGTTTAATACGTGAATAAAAGTTATTGGAAACATCCTGCTTATTTTTAACTATAATTTGCACATGGTTGATGCATGTAACAATGAAATATTTAAGACGTAGATGAAACATTGATTACCATCAGGTGACATATTTCTGCCTAACTTTTTTACTCCCTTTTATTCATAAAAGAATCAAACTTCGGCACTGTGGTAGGATGTAATTCCATCTTAGTTGGTTTATTCGATGTGTCACATAGTGGAAAAGTATTACTTACTGGATTATATTTCGGACACAATCTATTGTCCATACTCAAATCATACCATCTTGATATGAATGTAGACAATAAATTGTGTCCAAAACGTAATCCAGTAAACAATACTGCTCCACGGTGTGGCACATTTAATAAATCAACTAAAATGGAATTTCAAGATGATAGAGAATATTTGTGGCGGAGGGGCTGATTTTGATTATGTTTTGTTCTCTAAATTGGTTTGGTCGCGAAGCTTCATTGTTCTTCTAGACAACATTATTAGCACAAACTTCTGAAGTCTGCGCTAAACCAGTTTACAGAGCACAAAACCATCAAGATGGAATGTCTTACTGAATGTTTTCAGTACTGGCGGAAATTTCGATAGATACCTTTAATTTAGCGTTTGTTTTTCTTGAATTGATATTCTTTAAAATCTTTGGAACTGAAAAGCCTTCCAGCACTTTTCTTGAAGATATCAACCTTGCTGTGTTTTAAAATCTGTGACGACGGTTGCGTTCTTTGTGATTCAGCATACTTCATGGTTAGGGTTAGATGAGTTCACAAAAGATTGTATTAACAGATGATTCACGTTTTGAGATTTAATGAGCGTGTGTTGTCCATCAAACAGGCAGTGTCGGTTAACTAAATTAAGTAAACTGGTTTTCATTTCCTTTATTACATCAACAATAGTTTCGACTTTTTATTCGATGAGATGACCAGTAGAAATTCAAAAAAAAAATTGAATAAAAGTACTTCCGATGACTATGCTACTAAAAATGGTATTATTTATCGATTCACAGCAATATGTAAGGCATGAAATATTAGTGTTAACAACTAATTTGAGGATAACTGGTTAGATGTAAAATGAATTACGAGCCAATTGGAGAGAATGGGGTTACCATGACGACTAAAATAAAATAAATTTTCAGAAAACAAATATATTTCACACTTAGTAATTCATTCTGAAATGCACCATCAGCTGCACTTATTTGATACATTCACCATGTGATCAACTAGTTTCATTATTAAACTGTTTATCAGTATGACAACATAGGGACATAAACGAATATTAAAAGTGGTTTGAAATTTAGAGCATCCTAAAATCAGAACAAGTTAATCTATTATTAAAAGGTTTTTACGCGATAACACGAACTGGATTTTTGGGCACCGAAATTGCTGATAGTATCCTTTGTCAGGGATTTTTAATTTTAATACACTTTATGGGATCCTCGTCATTTAGAAAATTCCCATGTAATGTCATAAAATGAAACATTTTTTGGAATGCGATCTCTAGAATGTATGAATTTGTTGAGTACTTTTAACTTTGATCCCTTTTATTGATGCTAAGTTATACTTCTGTAATAACAATAACACATAAATATGCTACATGGCTTTAAAAGTCAAAATCATTCGTATTTGAGGGTGGGACAAATTTAAATATACTTTTATATAAGTTTGCTTGTTAGATATTTCTTGAACGACATTTCGATCAAAAGCTTTGAATCACATTCATATCAATAGCAACTCCATAGCTTTCAAATCTTGCCTTTTCTAGTTCTATTTCTGCTCCTTCTTCATTCGTCGTATGAGTAGTAGAATGTTCCAAATATCTGGATAGGTTATGAGTCATTCCCATTGCATGTGGTCGATAAAGATTGAATGAAGAAAGCTTCAGTTACAAATCACTCTCCCAACTCACTAAGGTAAGTTTTAGGGATCGTCACTCTATCCTATACTATTGTGTGGTTGCATACATCAGAATAGCTGAGATTTGTTTAGATTCCTTATTTCAATATGGTCTGTCATTAATGATAGGTTGATTTGACGTACGTACTTGAAATCATAATTGTTGTATAGAATCTGATAAACTAAATTATTTCGTCTAGTAGGCTGTATGGGACCTTTTCGTCAATTAATGTAGCTGTACTAGCAGTCAAGAATAAGCTCAGCTCTGGCCAGAAATTATTACCTGGAACCAAAGTACCAAATGGATAAATAGTAAGTGGATTACGATTATGCCTGACACTTACAGTTTTTAAGTTTCGAGGCAAAATATACAGAGCTATAGAGTTTCAGTGGTATCACCAATATCCCTAACAGTGTCAGACATATTCATGGATAATTAGAAACCTACAGCGGTTAGGATATTTATTCCTCCTAGTTAAATGCATTGGAGTAAGTTGCATAATACACTTACGGTGCTGAATTCAGAACACAGTGATAAGTTTCCTGTACACACATAATCAATTGTAGATGCAATAGCATTTATTGTGAAGTAGAACTAGCTTTGTTGGGTAGTACAATAAAAGAGGAGACAAAATGAATTCTAAGACATAAGAATCCACAGAAAACTCCAGCATTCAAATTGATTCTTAGAATTCAGATAGTCTAATCACACAATTTTAATAAGTTTCAATAAAATTTTAAAATGATAGGTAGAAATGTAAAGATAGTAAAATAGAAGATCTGAAAAAAGATATGACGTTTAAAAAACTTTGGTTGTCAGTGATTATCCGCATAAACTATCATAGAAATGAATGAGAAAATTGTAAACAAAAGTGAGAAAACATGACATTATTATAATTAATTGTTCCTTTGGTTCCTAGTAGAACACAGTTCTTCAGTAACACGTCGCCATTCCACTCTCTTCTCTGCAATCTTTTCAACCTGGCTTCACGACTGCCCACAACCTCTCATTTCTCTCTCACAAGATCCCCTCCATGTCACCCTCAGCTGGGATGCCCAACTCGTCGTTTCCCATCTGGGTTCCACTCGAGGGACTGGCCTGACGCGTGATGTCCCAAGTCCATCTTCTCAGTGCATGCCCAATCCAATCCATCTCCACTTCCTTCCCTGAGTGATAGGTTCTTGATTGGTTCGTCACCAGCCAGGGTTCCTTGTTACTTATTCTTATTATTCTGGCCATCTGAGCTTCAGTAACGAGCCAGCGTAGGCAGTTGTTGATGAGTGTCTGTAGTTTGTTGGAAATGCCTTTCGTGACGCGCCAAGTCTCTGAGTCGTACAGAAGCACTGACTTGACATTGGTGTTGAAAATCCGGATCTTGTTGACGCTTTATGCTGGGTGCGGAAGATCTCCACACTGATTTCAGGTTAATGAATGCCTGTCTTGCTTTTCCGATCCTGCCTGGCTTTGACGTCCTCGTCTGTGCCACCTGTAGTTGAAAGGATGCTGCCTAGACAGGTGAAAGAGACAACTTCCTTTAGGTTTCTCCCGTTGATGGTGATTGGAGCTTGTTGTTGTTGTTGTTGGAGGTGTTGGTTGGGTATCTTCATCACCTCTGTCTTCTCTATATTCACTTGAAGTCCCGTCTTCGCTTCCCTGCCTCTTCTGTCAACTTGTTGGTTTTCGCCTGTAGATATTCAAGTTTGTACGACAAGACATTAGACATAAATCATCATCGGCGAAATCCAAATCTTCTAGGTTCTTTTCCCCAGTCAAGCCAGCGTATCCCCCTCTTCTCACAGCTCCTCACTGTTTGTTGCATGATCCAGTCCACCACAACCAGGAATATCATGCGTGATAGTAGACAGCAGCCTCGTCTTACTCCTGTCTTCACTTCGAAAGCATCAGTGAGCTTCCCATTGTGAATTACTTGGCTGGCATGTGGCGTCTTCAGATAGTTGTTGAATGAGATTGATAAAGGTTTGTGGTATTCCGTAGTGTTGAAGCAACTGGCAAATTACTTCTTTGTAGACGCTGTCAAAAGCCATTTCAAAGTCGATGAAGTTGAGGTAGAGACTTGACTGCCATTCTATGCTCTGTTCTGTGATGATGCGTAGTGTAGCGTTGTAATTTGATCCGCACATGATTTGAGGAAACCAGAGAAAGACAATATAAATACTTATGGCGCCAAGGAAAAGGGAATCAGAAATCATAACTTCAAGGTGTTATCGTTTTGGACAGGTGCTCCAAAAATTTTTCGCCGGATACTTAGGAAATGTGCGTTTAATTTGAACTTCAGAGATCGCTGATTTACAAGCTTTGCGCACTGAAAGATTTTATAAGCATACAAAATAATATAATTCATTTTGTCAAATTCTATGCAGCAATTGTGATTTCAGGTACGTACGTCAAATCAGCTTAACGCAGCATAGCATATTGACCAATTCAAGAGTGACAGACCATGGTGAGATATGGAATCTAAACAAATCTCAGCTATTCTGATGTATGCAACCACACAATAGTATAGGATAGAGTGACGATCTCTAATAGTTACCTTGGTGAGTTGGGAGATATGAATGTGAATCAGAAATTCTGATGAAAACATCGTCCAGGAAATAATGCTGTTCAGCTTTGTGAAATATGTAACGAAAGCTCAGTATTGCATTATACTCTACCTCATTGTGAACATTTTGCTGCAAATGTAAGTCTTCATGTAGCGTTTTGCTTTCTTTTTGGTAGAATACTCCTTATTTGTCGTATATAGGAATAATTCACTTATACTATGTTGGATAAAGATAATGTAATGCGAAATTAGGTGGAAGACAAAACGTAGATATCGCGGGCTATAATAACCCATTTATCAATTATATTCTCCTATGGCATGTTCAAAATTCCAAGGATCAAAAAAATCCAAGCTACTGCAAATAATTTTTACAAAAAAACGTAAATACCACATTGCTAACTTAAAACGTTTATCATAAAATTCAGTTATTTCAATGTGAACTTTTAAATTAATTGATTGAAAGAGTGACATTATTCTGCTTTTTGTTACGTATTATAGGCTTCTTTATCACTGATCAAGAATTATTACCCTGGATCACCAAATGGAATGAACTTTGGGTTTACACTTATGCTTAAACCAACAAGATATGGAACTGCTGAAGTCGTTAAATGATATTAGTTTATATTTAAGAGAAGCATATTCTTCATTTATTCTACAGGCATAGAAAGTGAGGAGATTTATTTGCATCTAATTATTTTTCTGGTGAACAGAAATCGTTGTAACTCACACATGAATGGTGTTTACGTTTTTGGTTTGGGTGTATAATACCATTGATGTAATCAAGTGTACCTACTTCGTTACTTGCGACAGTAATGTCAAATCCTAAGTAGTTGACAGATTATCAAGTCACCAACCTACAGTTTGTGTCTGGGAGCTGTTACCGTCAATTTTTTTCAAACTTTATTTTGTTTATGACATGAGCTAACTATCCGATTTTCTCAACCAACACAGTTTGGTAAAGAATACTTCCGAGTCATGATTTCGAATCTGATAGTATACATATTCATGATCACTACCATCTTAGATATTATTGTATAAAATAAATGACCACTTACACACAAGGCAAACAACTCCACAGCATGTGTATTGGAATACGTAAGCACCTTCTGGAGTAACAAAGGTTGTAAAAATTGCGCACGTAAAACTTCCAAATGACTGGAAAAGAATAAAAAACAGTTGGAGAAACAGTATGTGTCAATACGTTTGTACATGAAACCTCAGTTTGCAGTTTAGATGTTTTGAATTATTTGTCTCAAAGTAATGTTATAAAACTTGTAAAGTACTAGGACAATAAGATATATTTTCAGATGGTTAACAATGCATACTCTAATGACAAGCATGAATTTTAAAATGAATGATTTCATTTTCGCTAGAGTTGACTGCAAATTGTTATTAGAAGAATGAAAATAGCACAAGTAATAGAGATATACATAAAGAGAACAATTGTTCGTTTGCAATAAATACGTTGAATGTATCCTTAACATGTCGATTTTAGAAAAGGGAAAAGTTAGCAATAAGCTGAGCGAATTGATGCCTTTATGTTTTGTTGTGATTGCGGAGCATGTACAGGTATTCCATAACCATCATTTTTTGTAGGTATGAGCCTTGTAGCGAACGAAAGTTCATCTGGAAAGCGAACGTGGTCTAGAAATCTATGTTGTTAGATACACAAGTTAGTTGGAGAGCTTATTGTCTCAAAAACACCGAATACTACCCACGGTATTTTTAAATGATGTACAATTTTCAATCTCATTATTTACTCTAATATTCACTGACCACTTTCCGGGTAAATTTTATTGATCTCTCCAGCATAAGCTTCTGATTCTGTTTTTAGTTTACCACCAGTCCCACACGTGATAACATTGATCTATGCATTATTCTATTCGGTGGTTTCAAACAAAAAGATGATGCTGATTGTTTTTCTGTCAACAGTTAATTAACCGCAAAATAAAAATGGATTGCTAAGACTATAATTATGTATATCCATTGTTTATTTTAAATATATCATAAAAAATATTACGTTCGTGTGAATTAATTATTTTATTGACATGTTAATGCAAACTTACAAAGGCTATAAAAATCAAACCGTAATTCACAGCCAAATTGGTTGGTCCGAATAATGTACCGGTCGCATTCGGTATTAGTACAAGTGTTCCACAGAATAAGGTAAACAGCGCAAATACCCATATCGAAAAGCATATCTTCATGGCTGTTTCTGATAATAATGCAAGATGTGGGAACGTTATCAGAACAACAGACCAAACAGCAAGTTTTACACATAATGGGATCTTCAAAAAACCAAAAAGGAGATAAAGGTAGAGAAAATGAGTTAAATTTTTGTTGTTTTGTTGTTCATTTAAAATATCACAGACAGCATAACTAGTGTAACCAGTGTCAGTCAACTCAACTATTTGTTCGACTTTATCTGTTAGAAACGCCAAGAGTCTATAATCGACGTCAGAGCTGTGTAATAATAGACCATATATTTGACAAACAAATTAGTCTTCCACTAAAACGTGACAATTGTTCTTCACACTATACCTCTCAGATTCTTCGAGCGAAAAACTTACTATTATCTTAATATAGTCGCTGAAACTATAGCTGGCACGCTGTAAAACACAAAAGTGATAATAAAATCACTCTTAAGGTAACTAGGGAAATATGTCAAGAATGGTAAACTTGTTTATGGTGGATGATGTGATGCCTTCGTAAAGTTGAAGGCTTCTAAGATAAGTAATAACGAATACAAATGAACAAGTAATGGTAGCAAGCAGTGTTGTCCTGTTAAATCACTTAGACATCCTTCGAACTCATAATTCCGACAACAGCTTGCTGCTTCATGCGTGGATAACTATATACATCTAAAAATTTCTCCCTCAGATGATATTAAATTTAATCAAATTTTTCTCTCCCTGTAATTTTATATCTCTGTTGTATCTATTTCATGAAGTTTACCTTTGAAATTTATACTCATGTTCAAATATAGAACTGCTACTTCCCATATTGGTTTCTTTGTTTCAGTCTTGACCAGGGTTGGCTGACAAATTGTTTGCAAGTTGGAGGCAGTCGGCAAGAAGCTATGAACCTGAGTTTTGTGCCTTGTTGGCTCTTGTAAGTAGGGAGTATCTAAGACTTCAAAGAGACTGATTCTCCTTCTGAAATTCGAACCTGCGTCATCCAGTTATACTACCACTTAACTTGGTGGCCACTTGGCAAAGCTATCAACGAAATTCGGCTAATGTAGGTGTAAAACTTGGTCACTGTGGTAGAATGGAGATTCGGTTACCATTAAAGACTACACAATATTAAACTGGTTACTTTCTCGTGGTCAGTCAGTGTATGACTGATAAGCTGTATAGCTTAACTCAGCTGTCTTTATAGATATAGTGTATTACAACAAAGTGTAATAATTATATTGCTAGTTTGACAGTTACAAAGTCTGCTAACATCATTACAAATAGAGTTTCATTCAGTGGTGGCAATTAATGTTTCTAGTTCAGAATCCAAAAAGAAAGGTGAGCTTTTGTTATAGGTTATTGTCATTCTTCTGTCTGTCGATAAACGTAAACAGAGATCTTTAGAAGTAGGGTATTTTAAGATGAACCTGTAGTATCAACCAATGAAAATTGCAGAACCATTTTGAAATGTGTTGAGTATCTTTTAGTAATATTATTTTTTAGTCAGTACTCTTCTCCCGGAACATTAAAGTTTATATTACTTAGGGAAAACACAAGTTGTTTCTTAAAACATTACTGGACAGAATAAAACGTTATGAAGTGACTACATATGCAGCATTTAGGTATCCTATATCTTGGAGTTTTTGACAGAAATATTGGTTCTGAGTTTAAAGTACAGTAAGAAGGCAAAAAGCACCAAGTGTGGAAGCAGTCAGAATGCAGATGCTTGCCTAATATACTACAGCAGCAATGCAGATTACAACACAAATACAGGTCAAGGAGATACAGAGGTCTACAGTTATCTAGTTTTCTATCCTGCACTAATTGAAGAAGCAGAATGTTTTCGTAGTTTACAATAGCCTGTCTGAGATAAATCAAAATCGACTACTGACTTCACAGGAATAGTTTTTGCTTACTTTAAATGAAAGCCGATCAGCAACAGAACCCCACAATATGCGTCACCACAGTTAAATAACGATGAGACAGTTACTATAGCTGACAGAAACCGATCATCCGTAATGTACATTTGACCAAATTGCTTAAGCAGACAAAGGAAAACAGTGCAATATTAGTTGCTGCAATATATAGAATCTATTTAAAAATCCTGTCCTTTATTCAGTCTATTTAAAAATCCTGCATTACACAGTGAAAATTTAGCTGCTTTGTGTGCAGAAAATGAACTACTGACCTATCCACTCTATAAACTAGTAAATTATACCAGATCAGTAAAGTAACATTTAAGGTTCAGAAAAATTGACTCATGGATCTAAAGCTTTTACTGCTACAGAAACACATGATGTGAGGTAAATGTCAGTAACTATAGGATTATTTGAATAATTCTGAAACCCGCAATTGTTTAAGGAGCACACTTAAAACTGCATATGTCTAGTACGACGGGACATGATGGCATTATTTCAATCAATTGATCTCCGAATGAGATGAATGGCAAAAGTCCCCATAACTGTCAAATCAATATGATTCATGGGGTAGTTTTAATCATCGATTTCCAAAAGACGGTTTTCCTAATCTTCGATTTGAAACTTGCATTGGAAAATAACATCATATTATGCGAAGGTTTGTTCCCACTAGAAAAACTATATATAAGTATTTTAAGTTTCAAAAAAGCTAAGTCAATAGGAGTTGATAAAGTAAAGCTGTAAGGGTTTTGCAGAACCCATAAAAAGAGTTTCAGTAGTGAGTCACCTGCTCGCAAAATACAGTCAGGAGATACAATATCACAAATAGGTGAAAATGAAATATTGATTTTCAGCATGATTTCCTATGAGAGACAAAACTAAACAGCTCAGCAGCACAAATAGTAACATAATTTAGAGTATAAATATGTGCAAATAGAATTTATACCTTAAAAGTGTACTACTAAGCGACATGACCCTCTGTAAATCACTCACATAGATCACCACTACTCGCCTGACAGACCAAGGTGTTCCGAACATTGGACAGCCGGATCGGTTTCATATGGCCCGTGAGCTTTGTTGTGCAGAGGAAAATATTTTTATAAATTAGCAGTTTCTTCTAGAATAATCATCCTCTTTTGCAAGGAATTCTTTGTTCACGATTAGAAAACAGATGTGGAACGGACCAGTTATACTTTCACTTTAATGCTATATGAAGCTACCGTGACAGAACTAAACTTTAAATTGTCAAAGGTTCTGAGTGGCTGAATACACTGTACTTTAAATAAATATAGTCGTCATCTATGTACTGAATAGTTCAGGAAGCCTTTCTCATGCAGGAATAACATATTGGAGGTGAGCTCTTGAAATGTTTCCATAGAGGATAGAGATATTTAGACGAGTGGAGCAAAAATATCAACTTCATGCTATTCGTCTACACATTTTGCAGAACTAGGAAAGATAAGTGGAACTTTTCCTGAGTGTCAACTGTTAATAATAATGATGGGATTGTTTCAATTAGCATGAAAAGAAATCTGTTTGCCACTGTTGTTACAAGATTTCATTGCATATGCTTGGAAGGTAGGTTGGTTATTCGAAACAGTTAATCCCTTTTATGAATTTCCATAACGTAATCAGAAGACGAAGTTTATCTGAGCAATGTGATATATTTGGGCAATACATTTCGAACAATCTGATCACACATTTACTTATCAAGTCAATATATACTAAACCGAGGACTAAGAGAGAGGGACAAATACAAGTATTAACACATTAGGGGATTAAAATTAAGAAAGATGAGAACAAACAAAAAGTGACATAGTTGTTCCTAATCTTAGTAAGAAAACAAAGTTTACCAAGGTGGATGCAGTGTAAGAACAAACTGTTTTTGTACACATAAAAGTGATTTAAATTTGTGTATGGCTATGGCTTCCACAAATCTCAGAATACGTCCCTGACTGTTTGAACATTAACTTTGTGACCTGTTTCTATGATATGTTTAGCTATAGATGAAGAGGGTTGTTTCCCACCAGCTTTTATTACTGTTTCACACTCCATTTGTTTTGAAGCGATTTAGGCACATGTTCTCCCACCCTCAACTGCATGACTCGATTACTCCTCCCTATGTATGTGTGACCACACACACAAATAAATGTGTGACTAGATTGTTCGAAATGTATTGCGCAAATACATCACATTGTTCAGATAAACTTCATTGTCTAATTACGCTATCGAGATTGGATATTAAATCCGAACTATTCAGATTCCGGTTGTGAATAGCTACTCAACTTTATTTACTGATGAATATGCGAAAAGTTAATCTGATGTTACACATAAATGAACAGCACCTGAGAAGCACCTGTGGGCGAATTCGAATTTCAAGAACTAGTAAATGAGTCACATTCTGTGGGCTTATTTATCGAAAGCAGTTTGCAGAACATTGTTTACTGCATCCCCTACGTGATACTTTATCCATGCAAGCTCATGTTATCCAAACCGTCGTAGATACCGTTGTTGGTGTTGTGTTTACATAACTTCAATTGCTCCTGTGGAACAGGACACCATTTAAACGTGCTCACTAACATTTACCGGTATTAAAATAGAAAATAAAATGCATACCATTACACATTTTGACTCTGCGATATATTGTTTTGCTAAGCCGCGTAGCATCTGTTCATAACCCATTCAATGTAATGTATAGGATACGACAAAGCTGCTCAGAAAGATCTCGATCAAGTCATCTTTTCACAATAGAGGCTTCGGATTTTCACGAAGGGAATTTTGAGCTCTATGTACGTAAGCATTTCGTCCAGTCTCTTTTGCTGTTATGACCTTAATTTTAAAATGAATTAACTTTCACTGAATAATGTTTTAGGAAATCGATTTTTATTACCACTGGATGCGGCACCACTTTATTGATTCAAATCTTCATCGACTACCTGTTTATAATGTTTGTATTTCTCAGCCCGTTGTTCACGAAAACAAACACTTCTAACCTTTTTACATTAATTTAAGTCTGAATATTCGTTGCAACATAAAGTTGACATGCTAACTAATAGAGAACATTATTTTTATTTGTTTAGCTGACTAACCCATACATTTTGTTATTAACTGACATAAACGCTTGACTGTCTTCGGTACTTTTCATGAAATCTTTAAACTATTATACAGCTGCACAAAACGATCTTTTTGCTGATCAACGTCTTTTTGATTCCAACCAGATGGGGATCTTTCATACAAAAATCAGTATATTCACGTTATTCAGTCACTGTGGATATTTGTTGTAAAATACTTTGGATGTTTTCGACACAATTTTTAGTCTGATTTTAGAAAACAACACTTGTTTTTAATCCTCTACACCATTTCCAAAATTCATAATTCAGTAAACTTTAAAAATTTTCTGAATATTTCAAGCTAGTTTTTATAAAGCACAAAATAACAAAGATAGTGGATAAGAGTAAGTTGTATATTTAAGGGATGAAAATTAAGGATAGAATCGACCTACCTTATATGTAG